CTTGTCTCTCTCGGTCCTACTCGGTTGCCAGCGTGCAAACACCACTTAACAGTGCAAGAAACTCTCCAACGATGGTCAGGTCAAGCCGAGAAAGCATGAAGAGAACATACAGCATTATCACCAAATATATAGAACAATTCTCTATGCTAGCAACACAAAATTAAAGAAAAATATTATCACTGGGGCAATTCAAAATTTGACATATTTTCTGTTAAGACAGGGGCAGCATGGAAGTATTCCTCATTATAATAAAAAAAATGACAGGTCACTATTTGAGATTGCTAAAAAAATATGTAGTTTTTAAGAAAAGACCCGAAGGGGAGGTTCTTCAAAAGCCATTTAGGGGAAGTCCTTTAGATAACTACTTCACCACACTGGGTTTGTTTACAGAGATAAAACATTAGTGGATTGGATCAGGCAGGTTGGCTATTTGGGGTTGGGAAAACGGGTGATAAATTGGACACAACTGGCCGAAATATGACAACATCCGATCTGATCCAACGATGTCGCATCAAAGTTTATAAACAACGTATGCGAAGAATCAGAGCTGCCGGAAGTTGATCTGACTGGTGGGCACTCCGTTCTATGAAGTAGCGATGTGCAGGTTCGCTGCATTTGCTCCGAGACAATGCAAGAGATTGACCTGCAAATAAACATTGGGAGTTTATAAATGTGTCAATGTGTTCACAATGTCTACAAGCTACAACAGTGGCAAAGAAAAAAGCAACTTGCTACATGGTACTTTTATACGCAAAAGTACAAAGCAAGGAATTTTCCCAGTCAAACCAATGTAAACTTGCATAAGTTATGCCCTCTGAAAACACCCAGAATGCATGCCAAGTCACTAATGTTTTTTTTTTTTTGGATGCAAGTTGCCCTAGTAGGCATATTTTACAAGTGCCCTCTTCTGGGGGCTTATTGTGCACAACCAGTGGGGTACTGCTACTTAAGTTTGTTAAGGCAACAGCGCCAAAGGTAAATTTTTTTTTTTTATTATTACCACTATTGAAATAAAATATTTTACAGTTCATAATGCTAAATCTTTATAAATCCGGTGTCAGATTTGATATAGCTTGTTTTTTTAGGTCCTCGATAAAATGTATATTCAGAAAAAAACATGCTCCTGTGCGCACGTGAGGCATGGCAGCAAACTTAGAAAAGCCCAATAAAATAAACTAGGTAATTCGCTCCTTTTAAACTACTGAGTGCAATGAACAACAGTGTTGCGGAGTTGCCACTCCGGAGTTGGAATGATTCAGGAATCATTCCACACTTTCGCGACCTTAGAATGGAAAGGGAATGGCGGCACCACTTTGGGGAATAGAATGGGAACGGAATTGGATGCACTTCCCTCGGAATGGAGGGGAAATGGAATGAGCTCTGTTCTTATGCGAGCTGTGGATTTTCATTTAGAGCCTAAGGGCTGATGGCACAATTAGCTTGCGCATGGTAAGTGGCTCTTGAAACGGTACCACTGTACTTGAAGTGACTGACGGCTTGTCTTACTGGCTTTATGCTCAGAGGATGAAGATGGCACGGTAATCTCATGTGGCAGTTAATGGTTCATTGGAAATGGTTCGGCATAAAAAAAAGAATTAAAGACGTTTACAATCCCCTCTAATGCTGAATTAGAGCGCAGCTCTTGAGGAGGAGGAGGGAAGGGTACTGAGGGGAGAAGGTAGAAAGTCCCCTACTACTAACATGGGTGTGGATCGACATGTGCTTAACGCAAGCCGCAGAAAATGCACATCTTTGGTGAGAGCATCGCATGTAAATTTGGCGGGAATTTAGCGGAGCAATTTTTTCCTCTAAGTTTAGAGGGGAATTTTTTCCACTAGATTCAGCGGGGCAATTTTTTCCCCTAACTTTAGCAGGGAATTTTTTCCACTAGATTCAGCGGGTAAATGTTTTCCGCAAAATTAAGCGGGGAAACTTTTTCTGCAAAATTTAGCGGGGAAATTTTTTCCGCTAGAATTAGCGGGGAAATTTTTTCCACTTAATTCAACAGGAAACTTTTTTCTGAGAATTTTCTCTGCTACATTTAGCGGGGAAAGTTTATTCGCTGGATTTAGCGGAGAATTCTTTCCGCTAGTGATGTCACACGGGACGTCGCTGATGATGTCGTCAGTGACAATGACGATGGCGTCGTCACGATGACATCATTGGTGGTCCTTGTGGCGTCATCACGACGGTGTCACTGGTGGTCCTTGTGACGTCATCGTCATCACTGGTGACGTCATCAGTGACGATGAGGTCACGCGTCCCATAATGCACCGCGCAATTACGCCGACGGCGACGACGTTCAAGCCGGAAACGGGCGCCTAAGAGCAGCGCTCTAAAATGTGAGCCGCATCCTCTTGCGGGTGATGGCGCCAAGTTAATTAAATATTCGCGACAGTGGCGTGAGCAGCTCAGTTTTGACGAAACCAACGGCAGCGACGACATGGAGAGCTCAAGAATAGTGAACCAAATAAGCATATTTCATGTCTATGTGCAGCACAAATTGACGTCAGCGAGTCGGCAACAAAATAAATGTATCACCATTGGGGTGTCAGTGCCCCTTTAAGTTCTGAAATTTGCCACTGGGGATATATTGTTCAATTCGTTGATGACAATATTGGAACTTGTTTTTGCTTGCGCATATATTGCTATCTTAAAGGGATAGGGAAATGAAATTCCAGCGCTCATTTTCAAGCCCGAATGTGCTGCAAGTTGCACCTTAACCTCAAAAACAAGACTTCCCATTGAAAGGCACAAGAAAACTATAAAGCTAAATAAACAATCTTTCAATGTGCACCTGGTGGATGCATCTGGAGCCTATTTGCGAGGTGATCTAGCAACGTGGGGGAACTTGCTATGTACTAGTCGTGATGTAGCAGATTCCTTCGGAGCAGCGCGGCTCTTTGGGATTTCTATTTTTTCCTTCTTAGCTTTCCTCCTGAACTCACAAATCGCGCATTGAACCAAACGGTTCAAGAAGACGGAAAGGAGGGACTCCCCTCTTTTTCAAACCCTCGTTTGTGCACCCGGATACAGCGATCCTCCCCCTGGAAGATTAGCCCGTCGCTCAAAACTCGGACAAACGTTGCGTTTCCCACCCCGTTTAGCCCTAAGCTGAGTGCTGTGGAAGCTACGTGCTCCTTGGGCCAGCCACACGCTCGTCACCCTAAGGGTACTTCGAACGGCTCGGCTGTGACGCGTTGACGCTATTGACACCACCACAACACTGACAACGCCACCAAGGGCGAAGCTCATAACCACGCCAGCCTTGCTACGTAACGAATGAGGAGAACCTTTTCTTTCTGTTTTTGTTTGCGCCGAATATCCCTTGACGCATCGCGCTCTCAGTTCGCTTCTCTTCGAGCGCTTGCTCGAGTGCACCGTTTGGAACGAAAAATATAGACAGCCATTTAAAATACAAACGTGCGATTATCATTTACGGTTATTATCCGTCATGCTTGACTCATTTCCGGACGAAATTTGAATATTTCAATTTTTGTTTCCGTACCCCTTTAAAGGAATAGTTCAACGAAGTTTGAAATATTCCCGTCGTGTTCAAAAATAGGTTGAATATGATCCACAATATCCGTAAATGACAATCGCATGTTTGTATTTTGAGCCTGGTGGCTGTATTTTTCGTTATAAACGGCCCACTCTGGCAAGCACTCGGAGAAGGCCCAGCGGAGACCACGTGTCATCCAACGCAATCGTGACGTAGCTCGTCTCAGGACGAGCAAAGCTACGGCAAGGCTGACGTCGAGAGGATGGCCTAGTCGTTCCAGCCACCGAAGCGGCTGCTTTTGTACGAATTTTGAGTGACGGGTTAACGTTCTGTAATTTTGTAGGGGGACAATAGCGATTTCTGCGACACAGAAAAGGCGTTCTCGGGAAGAGGGGAGTTCCTCCTGCCCCTCTTCTCTCGTCGTGGCCGGAGGCGAGACAACCTCCGTCACGAGCTGTCAAGGTTCCTAGACGGGATTTTCAAGCGAAACATTAGCGACATCCACCAGATGCTCTTTGCTAATTGTTTAATTCGTTTTAAAATTCCTTTTCGTGACTTTTTTAACAAGATATTGCTATCTCCGATGTGATGCTGCTTTTTTGAACACATATAGACCAAAAAATGAGTGCCGAAATTTCGTTGTAGTATCCCTTTAATACCATAATTACTCGTAGAATAAACACACTCGCTTAATAAACGCACCCCCCACAATGGGCATCAATATTTTGACTTTTTTCCTCCCGTAATCAACGCACCTCCAATTTTCGGATCCGCGAGTCTTAAATTGCGTCCAATTAGCAAGCCGCCAAGCCAGTTTTCTTTTACCGCCAAGCAGTCAGGCCAAGTCAAGCCAAGCCAAGCCGCTCTCGTAGTGGCCCGGTGGCCCCAAGCACCTGGTTACAGAAGTGATAAACCGTGAAACCGAGTGCCGCGCACACCTGACGGAGCTTGGGTCGAGGAATTACCGAGCCCCAAATATTGTTCGCCTGTCGGATACATTGATGTCAACAAACAAGCCGTCATCTGTGGTCCGCTTTCGGACAGAGAAATCGTGAATGTGGTTAGGCCTAATTTCACATACTCCGGGTAAATGTGTTTATTTAATCCGTAACAAAACGGCACAGCAAGGTGCACGCTGCGCTGTAGGCTGACAGTGTCCGGTAGATTCTCCGTGAACAAAACTCTATCCGTGCAAGCGGGCTTTGGGGGTCCGCAGTTGGACTTTGTACGAGTTCGTCTTCGTGAACGAAACTTGATCCACGTGAACGGCCTTTGCGGTCGAGGGTTGGACTTCGTACAAGTTCTTAAACGCGTAGTCGTGGATATACCCAAGCGTGCCCACCGGATACTAGCAATATATATCGCCTAAGAACGGTCAAGTTGCTTTTCGTGCTGAGTGAGCTTCTAGGGCGCTCTTCCTTCGGCAAAAGGCACCCCGAAAGCGCTGTAAAAAGATTTGCAATTTATAAAGCATGCTTATTGTGGCGCGCCCCCGATCAGCCATGGGTGCGCCTCCATGTGCCACAGTACCTTGCCGTGTCATATTGGCACCTAATATGACATTTGCACGAAATGTGTAAATTAAAAAATTTTACCCCGTGTAATGAACAACCCTCCCCAAATATGTGTCAATTTTTCAGGAAAAAAAAAAGTGTTTATTGTGCAAGTAAATACAGTACACATATGCAGGCTTTTCAATTAATCTTTGCCGTGCCCATCATACAAATATATAGGTGTGTCTTGCAGCCAAAATAGCAATGTTTCAATGAAAACAGCCCTTTAGAGTAAGGCGCAACTTAAGCAAAGGTGTGACCCATAGACCGGAAAATATGGTATATGCTCGTTGTGATAAGCACTAAGGGCTTCTTTGTTAGTGATAGTTCTTTTTGCTGCCCCGACTCTAGTGTGATAGATGGTAGCCGGTACTCTTACACCATACATGATTCATTAATGGGCAATCAGTTATCAGGTTTACCCAAGGTGGTCTTGAACAAAAGGGTAAAACGACATTGTGCAAATATGTCAAGCTACACCACCCTTTACTATATAATGGATGTCCCTCACGGATGATGCTCCTTCTCATGTGCATTTAAATTAACTTTCTCCAGAAAATTTTCTCCACACTGCTTGCAATGAAATGATGGGTCTACACCGTGAAGTTCCTCGTGACGCCTCAACTGAAACCACTGCTTAAACGGAGCTCCACATGTTCCGCATTTGTATGGTTTGTCACCCATGTGGACTCTTCTGTGATGCGTCAAGTTACCGCTATTTGCAAATGCCTTCTGGCAAGTCTGGCACCTGAACGGCCTTTCACCTGTGTGAATTCTGTTATGAACTTGCAGGTTAGATTTGTCCGAAAACGCCTTTTCGCAAGTCTGGCACCTGAATGGCTTTTCACCCGTGTGAATTTTCTCGTGAGCCTGCAGGCGAGCCTTTTGTGTAAACTTTTTGTGGCAAACGGCGCAGCTGAAGGGCTTTTCGCCTGTGTGCGTCCTTTCGTGCTGCCCGAGGTTCGACGAGCGAGAGCTGGAGAAAGGGCAGAACCGGCACTGATATTTCTTCTCTCGGTGTGGTTGCGCCATCTGCTGCCACACGGTGAGCAAAATGTTCTCAGAAGAGCGTTTCCCCTCGGTGCCTTCACAGCCAGGTGCCTGTTCTTCGACTTCAGTGGCTTTCGAAACAGGCTCTGTGAAAGAAACAAGCCAAATCGGTTTCAACAGGCATTTTTTTTTACCAAGAGAAGCAGGTTAAAAGTGTGCCTGAACATCAACACTGGTGTAGTGGGAGGTGGCCATTCACTTCAATGAATGCTGCACTCCCAAGAAACATTGCTTTTTAGCACCTGTATAGGACCTGTCTGTCACAAAATAAACATTTCAATAAAAAAAAAGTTAGTGCTACATTTACGTCATCAGACTCATTTTGAGTTAGGAGAAATTCCTAAACATGCTTCTGTCTCCGGGTCAGTCTTGAAAGTAAACCATGTTCTGGAATTGCTCCGAACTCCAAAAGTGTACCGGAACGTAAATACTGCAGTACTTATTTTTTCAGGAAAAGTGCATTTTCTGATGTACATACCATACTAAAACAAAAAAAACAAAAAAAAAAAACTCAGGCATTCAATATCCACAAACATCAAAGGACTTAGCTAACTTTTCTATTTTATTCCTGATGAATACTCAAAATCTGCAGCTTCTACTTCCATTCTCCCATCACCCAACTAGTGAGCTGGCATTGAAATAGTGGTTTCCACCTCACAGCAACATGTTATACTCTGCTAAAAACATAGGCTATATTGTATCCTGTGTTGACGTGAAATAAAAGGATTGATTACTTGAGAGTGACAGGTCACTCAAGGGAATGTGACGATTTTAGCACGGCACTTTCAACCTGGCTTCATTCACATAAACAGTGCACTAGTGGACTGGATGTAGTGTGGTAGTTTAATTTGAGGAAGAGCAGTTGTAATTTTGCATTCCTTGGCATCATTGAATCCTAACGCTGTCACATTGGTGGAAAGAGGGACGGTTGGAAAGAAGCGATTGTGTCAAATGCTGGCTGGTGGTGGTGAAGCTTTCCCTAACCTATGCATTACCTGGGGATGTATTTCCCAGACTATCTTTGAGATGATGGCCACAGATTTTTATAACAAGGTTTAAAAGAGGTTGAAGAGACAAGAATTATAGATCCCAATGCAATGGTATGGCACACTCCATTCTTCACATTTAAGGGCAATTTACGCAAACCAAGCTGCACTGGTGGTATGCAAGTATATGTAAAGCGCCGTCCACACGCTTGCAACTGAGTAAGACAGAGAGACAAGACCGATTTTTAAACCTCTTGCGATAAAGGAGGACTGGATATTCTGCTGCACATCAGGTCCTACACCGTCGCAAGAGGCTTAAAAACCAATCTTGTCTCTCTCGGTCCTACTCGGTTGCCAGCGTGCAAACACCACTTAACAGTGCAAGAAGCTCTCCAACGATGGTCAGGTCAAGCCGAGAAAGCATGGAGAGAACATACAGCATCATCACCAAATATATAGAACAATTCTCTATGCTAGCAACACAAAATTGAAGAAAAATATTATCACTGGGGCAATTCAAAACAATTTGACATATTTTCTGTTAAGACAGGGGCAGCATGGATGTACCCCTCATTATAATAAAAAAAAAATGACAGGTCACTATTTGAGATTGCTAAAAAAATATGTAGTTTTCTAGGAAAAGTCGAAGGGAGGTTTTTTAGAGGAAGTCATTTAGGGGAAGTCCTTTAGAGGGCTACTTCGCCACACTGAGTTTGTTTACTGAGATGAAACATTAGTGGATTGGATCAGGCAGGTTGGCTATTCGGGGTTGGGAAAATGGATGATAAATTGGACAGAACTGGCCAAAATATGGCAACATGCGATCTGATCCAACGATGTTGCATCCAAGTTAATAAACAACCTATGCGAAGAATCGGAGCTGCCGGAAGTTGACCTCACTGGTGGGCACTCCGTTCTACGAAGTAGCGATGTGCAGGTTCGCTTCATTTGTTCCGCGACAATGCAAGAGATTGACCTGAAAATAAATATTGGGAGTTTATTAATGTGTCAATGTGTTCACAATGTCTACAAGCTACAACAGCGGCAAAGAAAAATGCAACTTGCTACATGGTACTTTTAAACATAAAATTACAAAGCAAGGAATTTTCCCAGTCAAACCAATGTAAACTTGCAATAGTTGTGCCCACTGATAACACCCAGATTGCATGCCAGGTCATTGTTTTTTGTTTTTGTTTTGATGCAAGTTGTTTTTAGAGCGCAGCTCTTAGGCGCCCGTTCCCGGCTTAGCGGCGTCGCCGTCGGCGTAATTGCGCGGTGCATTATGGGTAAATTTTTTCGAAGGGACCCGAGGACTCCCGATGGAGCCCGAGGTCGTCCCGGAGGAACCCGAGGTCCTTCGGGAGGACCTCGGGTCCCTGCGGGAGGACCTCGGGTTCCTTCGAGAGTTGCATGCAACAGGTTGCATGCAACTGGCATACGAGTTGTATGCAACCTGTTGCATGCAATCCAGGTTGCATGCAACCTGATGACGTCATTGTCATCATCAGTGATGACGTCATCAGTGACGTCACTGATGACGTCATTGGCATCCGCATCGTCATCATCACTGATAACGTCATCAGTGACGTCACTGATTACGTCATCAAATCGTCATCGTCAACGTCACGTGACCCCCGAGGTCAGGTGACCCCCGAGGTCACGTGACCCCTGAGGTCACATGACCCCCCTGAAATCACGTGACCTTTAAGGTCACGTGACCCCTGAGCTCACATGACCCCCCTGGAATCACGTGAACCACCTGAGGTCACGTGGCCGCCTGAGGTCACGTGATTCTCCTGAGGTCACGTGACCCTCTGAGGTCACGTGACCTTAAGGAGTCACCTGTCCCTCAGTATGCTTCCATCCTCCTCAAGAGCTGCGCTCCAACCGGCATTACAGGGAATTGTAAACGGCTTTAATTTTTTTTAGATATTTTACAAGCGCCCTCTTCTGGGGGCTTACTGTGCACAACCAGTGGCATACTGCAGCGCAAGACTGTTAAAACAACAGCACCGAGGGAAAATTTTTATTATTACCACTATTGAAATGAAATATTTTAATTTATGGTGCTAAATCATCTTTATAAATCCGGTGTCAGATTTGATATAGCTCGTTTTTTCAGGTCCTCGATAAAATGTACATTCAGGAAAAACAAGCCCCTGTGTGCACGTGAGGCATGGCAACAAACTTAGAAAAGCCCAATAAAATAAACGAATTCACTCCTTTTAAACCACTGAGTGCAATGAACAACAGTGTTGCGGAGTTGCCACTTTGGAGTTGGAATGATTCCAGAATCATTCCACACTTTCGTGACCTTGGAATGGAATGGGAATGGCAGCAGCACTTTGGGGAATAGAAAGGGAATGGAATTGACTTAAAACGAAAGAAACACACAAGAGGACAAAACAGACGACACAGAATTGGATGCACTTCCCTCGGAATGGAGGGGAAATGGAATGGGCTCTGTTCTTATGCGAGCTGTGTGGATTTTCATTTAGAACCTACGGGCTGATGGCACAATTAGCTTGCGCATGGCAAGTGGCTCTTGAAACGGTACCACTGCATTTGAGGTGACTGACAGCTTGTCTTAAGGCTTATTCACACGATGCATCTTTTCAACGCGCCACAGTTTAGCGAAACCAAGATTTCGCGAAATCGCCCTGTTCACACAAGGAGTTTGATGCGCGAAACCTGCGACGTATTGACTCACGAGAATTTCGCCAAACCTTGTCATCTGCACCGGGAGTACCAAGCGTTTCGCATCAAAATGATATCAAGTATGCACAGTGTGAAGAGACAGTCTTTTTTATTAATACCACTCAATGAACTTAGTCAGATTCGGCTCACTGTGTTTACTAGTCCTGCCAAATCCAGGAAAGACCGCGAACGTCGCGGAACAGGCAGATGATCTTGAAGCATTTCGGACATTTTTGCACCCAAAATAAAAAAAGTTATCCCAAGTCATCATGTTTGTATGCGGTGCTTGCACTCGTCGCGACTGTTGATGAATCTGCACCGCGCCACCAACCCGTACCGTAGGCGCCGTTCACAAACCTGCAACCGAGTAGGACCAAGACTCATCATCCGTACGCACCGCTTCTCCGCTTGTGGCTCGCCATGTTTGTTTGTTTTCTTTCGGCTTTGGCTCAAATACGGAATCGGCCGAAAATCAAACTCCTCCAAAAGCTCGCTCCTCCTCGAAGGTCAGACTTCACAGCGAAGTCGAGCGGCCATTGGCAGCGTCCGTGTTTCTCCTACGGGTGATTGACAGGCCTCGGTGAGGTTTCAACGAAAAATTGCTCCAGAAGCGAGGAACATGCACCCCTTTTTTCGGAGGCGTGCCACTTTTTCGGTCGCGTTCAGACGGGGCATTTGTTTCCCGAAATCTAGTTTCGCAACACAAGATCCGCCAACAAGATGCATCGTGTGAATAGACCTTTACTGGCTCATGCTCCGAGGATGAAAATGGCACAGTAATCTTATGTGGCAATCACCAGTTCATTGGAAATGGCTCGGCGTAAACAAACGTGAGCCATGTCTTCTTGAGGGTGATGGCGCTAAGTTAATTAAATATTCGTGACGGTAACGTGAGCAGCTCAGTTTTGACGTAAAAAACGGCAGCGACAACATGGAGAGAGCCTAATAATAGTGAAGCAAATAAGTATATTTCACGTCTATGTGCAGCACAAATTGGTGTCAGCGAGTCAGCGTGTAGGAGTACACTTGTATACTTTGTTTCACCTATAGGAGTGACAGAAAAGGACACTACGAGCCACCGGAGCCATATCATAGCTTGGAGGGTGTCCGTGTCCTTACGATTGGGCGGAGCGATGCGGGGAGCGTAAAATCACAAGGCAAGCTACGAACTATGGATTGGGTCATTTAGCTCGTAGTGTCCATCGCGGTATATCGTAAGGTGAAACGGAGTATAACTGACAATGCTGAGAGCCTATAGAGCTATTTATGTGTATCTTTTTCTTGCTGCTAAGCAATATTCCTCAAGGAAGGAGAAGGCAAACAAAAACATCAAAAACAAAAAGTTGAGGGCTGTCAGCACGTTTGTTTCATGGTGGCAAAACCTGGAGGCGCCGAGAGGGGAA